TTTGTGTAGTGATTGAAGGTAAGGTAATCGAGTTTAGGAGGCGGAAGTATAGAATTTTAGGGGGAATGAAAAGTTGAAGAAAATACTTTTGAGGCTACAAAACTACAATCAAGCTGCAAGCAAGCTTCAATCAATTTGAAATCAAGTTGCAATCAATCCACAATCAAGCTACAATCAAGTTGCAATCAAGCTCCAATATAGCTACCAGCAATCTACAATCAAGTTGCAATCCAGCTACAATCAAGTAACATTCAAGCTCCTGTGAAGCTTTAATCAAGCTACAATCAAGCTATAATCAACCAATCTGCAATTAGGTTAAAATAAAGTTGCAATCAAGTCACAATCAAGCTACAATCAAGCTCGAATTAAGCTACAAGCAAGATACAATCAAACTACATTCAAGATACAATCAAGTTGGGATCAAGTTGCAATCAAGCTACAGTCAAGCTACAATCAAGTTGAAATCAAGCTACAAAAAAGTTGTAATTAAGCTTAAATCAAGTTGTAATCAAGCTACAGTCAAGTTATAATCAAGCTTTAACTAAACTTCAATCAAACTACAATCAAGCTTCAATCAATCTGCAATTAAGTTAAAATCGAGCCGCAATCAAGTTGAAATCAAGCCATAATCAAGTTGAAATCAAGCTTCAATCAAGTTGGGATCAAGTTGCAATCAAGCTGTAATCAAGTTGAAATCAAGCCAAAATCAGGTTGAAATCAAGCCACAATGAAGTTGTAATCAAGTTGTAATCAAGCTACAATCAAGTTGAAATCAAGCTAAAATCAAGTTGTAATCAAGCTACAATCAAGTTGGGATCAAGTTGCAATCAAGCCGCAATCAAGTTGTAATCAAGCTACAATCAGGTTGAAATCAAGCCACAATCAAGTTGCAATCAAGATACAATCAAGTTGTAATCAAGCTACAATCAAGTTGTAATCAAGCTACAATCAAGCCACAATCAAGCTACAATCAAGTTGTAATCAAGCTACAATCAAGATGCAATCAGGCTACAATCAAGATGCAAGTAAGCAACAATCAAGATGCAAGTAAGCAACAATCAAGCTATTATCAAGTAACAATCAAACTACAATCAAGCTGCAATCATACTACAACCCAATCAAAATGTCTAATCCTCAACCTCCAAAGTTCCCAACCCCCTCAAACATAAAATTATTCAAAATTGCTTTATTCCAACAGCAATCATGCACTTGATAGAGTAATGACAATAGTAAAGCATTAAATGAAATGTTTGTATGTGCTAGTGTCATGATGATGATGCAGGATTACAGCTTTAACTGCTCTTTCTGCTTTCCTCAAGCATTTTACATGCTTTATGTAAATATATCTATTTCTATATCCATCGATTATCTAATAGAATGATTTTTTTGCGGTAAATTGGGGTTGAAATCATTTATATTCAATTAAACGTCCTATGATCCGTGTGATTTATTGTAGCTATGCTCAATTGAGATGCTGACTCATCAATAAAATTGGAGATTAATTGGAAAGAAAGGCGATTGAGGAGGTGGAATGAAATTGATGCTGATGTGTATTGTGCGTGCATAAGGAAATGTCTATTCTATAATTTAACAAGGGATACACATCATATATTCTTAGAACCAGATCAAAATTCATCAAATTTCACCAAACCAGCCAAAAATGAATGATTCTGAAATGGAGATGCTTAAACTACAGAATCAGAAACGAAAACTCCGTCCATCATTTCCGTGAAAGCCACTGACCGAACATCTACAACAAAAATTTCAATCATTATCCAGAAAGGAAAAAAAAAGATGTAAAATATTTTTTTTACCCATTCCAAAAATCCGACCTTAATTAGCAACATTTTACATCTCCTTTTGTTTATGCTGAAAGCTTTTTCCTGTTCAAGCTAATTTTTTTATTCACCCATAAAATGGTTCATTGAATATCAACATCATCTCCAGATAATTAGCAGAGTAGTGCTTCTGCTTTTTCATATTTTTTTGTATGCATCATGTTCATGATGCGATGTAATTATGAAGGATATGATCATATGCTTTGATGAGATGATGAAGAGGATGATTGAATGCCTAAAATAGATCAGAATGTTTTTGAGGTTGGCAAAAGTTGAATAAATATTTATTTACGCATCGTATAGAATCAATGGTATTTTAAAGATTGATCTAGTGTGAATTTGAGCTTAACGCAAGTTATTGTAGACAACATAACATAACTGAAAGATGGTGAACACATGTCATAAAGGATCGTTCATAAATTATGTAAAACATTTTGGGAGAAGGGGTCTGGAGTTTTGGCATGGTAAAAGATCAAGGTGAACCAAGGATGTGGTACTGATGAAATAATCAAAAATGATCAAAATGTAATTTTTCAGTTCCGCACGCTTGGGGAAAACCAGTTAATGGAAAAAAATTTTGATGGAAAAATTTCCATTAAGTAGTTTCTTCTCTGGTCAATACATTTTGTATCAAAGCCGGAGGGGGGCGAAGGGGGGGGTCTAAAAATCTCATCTTTTGATAAATGTAATTTTTGAACAGTCTCTAAGGGGCTGTTCACTTATTACGTAACGCGAAAAAATGACTTTTTAGACCCCCCCCCCTCGTAACAAAATTTGTATGAAAAAAAAATTTCCTTGTTTGAACCGTAACAAAATCTTAGACCCCCCCTCCCCCCCCCCTAAAAGCGTTACGTAATAAGTGAATGGCCCCTAAGTAATTTGCTTATTTTTTCAAAAAAAATATTACTTCTGATAAGATAGTGAGGTTTTTTAGACCCCTCCCCCCCCCCATGATCTCAAATCTCATCGCAAAATCATGTCGTTCGCTACTCTCCTGGATTTTTGATTTAAATTACCTCTTTTCAGTACTCAAAGCCTCACTCAAGTCTCACCTCAAGCAACATAATAAAATTTCGTACTTTGCACCAAAAAGTCACAAAAGCCCACCCCCAAATAAAGTGTGAACCCAACACACGAAACAACAACAAAATCCACCAAATTCTACGACTAGAGAAAGTTTCACAACAAAAAAAGGCAAAGAAGATTAGAAAAAAAAATATTTTATTGCTAAAGTAAACTTTAACATTTCTCCAGACACTTCCCTTTCATATTGTACAGAAAACATATTACATAATAATTTTTCCTATAGAACAAGAAAACATACATATGCGAACATTACATACATAAACTTTTCTTTCATCCCAACAAAATTCTCAAGCTATTTGTGATATATCACAAAATATTATTATGTTTACCAAAAAAAAAAAAAAATTCTATTCACGCCTATGAAGGAGGCACGAGGAAAAAAAATTAAAATTAACAACATTGAAAATAAATGTTTTGTGTATCCTGTGCTATTCATGTGTATATATTCTTAATAGGAATAAGGACTAACTTTGAATCTCGAGTGAATATGATGATCTGAAAAATTTGGAGTTTTATTTTAACATTTTGTACTTTTTTTTATTAATTATGTTATGAACATAAAACTTTGCATGTTATTTTCGGTCTTATCTCTTGAGAAATTTTGGTTGTGCTTGGTAATGTTTTTCATTATGAAGCATGCACGTGGAAAATAGAAGCTCAAATTTTACGATCTTTTGAAAATATAATTGCTAGGATTTCCTGTCTAAACAAAGTAGCTTGTTCAATGCATAAGCAGCTAGGGTATTCGAATTTAAAAAAAAAACATTCATGGATGTCATCAAAAGCTAGATCTGTGATGTCTAAGGGGAGTCCAATCTAAGGTATTAAGTCATATCTAGGCATTTAAGCCAATCCAGTGGTATGTTAACATTTGACGGAGTGGGTAAGAAACATACTAGAAATCTAGGACCTACTCATTTGTGAGGACATAAGTTCGATTCCCATCAAAAACCTATTTCTCAATTTTTCCAAAAAATTATGTTTTTCAAAACTTAAGATTAATGATTTGATTAATTTGAACATATTTATTAATCTATTCTACACTCTTCATGTAGATATGCAAAAAAAAGTATGAAAATATTGAATTTATTTAAATTTAATGTAGTTCAAAATCTCCTCCAAACTCCATTTCAGACAAGAAATAGCAAAATAAATCCATTAAAATACGCAATCCCCAAAAGCTTCCGTTCCATAATGCATCTTGGTTTACAAAGTGCAAATGAAAAATTTACTGAGGATATTTTACTTCCCATGTACATAAATTTCAAAATATATTTACTTAACCAAACACACACACACACAGTACTTTATATTACAGCAAACAGACTCTATCGATAGGATGAGAATGAAAATTATTAAAAGAGGAAGAAATTGATCTCCTAGCATGGTTGTTTATGCTACAAATAGTAAACCCTAACAGACAAAGAGCACGCTCTGAACATGCTTTTTAAAAATCAATTATTTAATTTGATGACGCTAAATTAGCGTACTCTCCCATATAAATGGAGATCGCAGTACGGTACCATAAAAATCACGCTCTCAAGAGTACGCTTTTTTTACTTGCAAGTTTTCATGCAAGTTGAACTTGAGAGCATGATCAAGAGCATGTTCTGCTGATCATGTTTTAAAGATCATGTTTACAAAAACATACTTAAGCGATTATGCTTCTGAGCATATTTTAAAGATCATAGTAATTGGAGTACACTCTAAAACATACTCTAATGAATATATTACTAAGCATGATCTAAAGATCATGTTTACAAAACATACTTAAGCGATTATGCTTCTGAGCGTATTTTAAAGATCATAGTAATAGGAGTACACTCTAAAGCATACTCTAATGAATATATTACTAAGCGTGATCTAAAGTTCACGTTTACAAAAACATACTTAAGCGATTATGCTTCTGAGCGTATTTTAAAGATATATTAATTCATATCAAATGATTCAAATTCAAATCCTGAAATAAATGACAAAAAATGAAAAAAATATTAATATTTCATAAATTTAAAATGTTCTTTATTATTTTCTCTGATTTATTCTTTCAATAAAACTACTTTTAACAGTTTTCTACATTTAATTCTTTTTCGAATTCTTAAGGATAGCTTTCATGTCACGCTTAATCTTGTTATTAAGGATGTTTTTAATAAAGTCTCCCAAAGTTTTTGTGGGATTTCCATCATCGAGATTAAGGACATCTTTTAACATTTCCAAAAATATTCCATGGACTTTCAGATACAGCTTTTTGTCTCCTGCAGCATCCTCCTTTACACATAATTTTCCCCATAAAACCGAATCGTTCAAAAACTGTAAATCAAAGATTGATAATAAAATGGCATGAAGCTTTCCATTGCCAAACTTTGTCATGCCTTCAGTTCCCGGCATTTTTTTCCAATAACGAACCTGTTTAAAGTAAAGAATAAATTAATACATTACTTAATGAATATTTGTATATAACTAGAAACTTACGAGATTTTCCTTATATTCCTGTGATTCGGTGGCTTTTATTAAGAACATATTGAAGTCCTCGATCGATGCAATTTTCTTTTCAATGGGATTGGTTCTGCTCTTTTTATTACCATCATTTGTTGGAGAGTCTTCATTCTTACGTTTCAATTGGCCATTCATTGATTTCAAAATTATCTTCAAATCGTCAACAGTCACCGCACCTTCAATAAGCTGATCGATTCGCTCACTTGAATTTTCCTCAACCACAGTTTCCTCAGCCACAGTTTCCTCAGCCACAGTTTCCTCAGCCACAGTTTCCTCAGCCACAGTTTCCTCAATCACAGACATTGCATTTTGTACTTGCTTTGATGCATCTCCATCGGTTTGATCTCGAACAGTCTAAAAGAAAATTTGAATTTAGTAGTATGATTAACAAATGAAAAAGTTGTAGATCTTAATTACATTCTCTAAATCTTGAAGCAGTGGGTCCTTGCGTACTTTGATACGCTTCTTACTTTCATCATCAGAAGCAGAAAGTTCCTTCTGGTGACATCGAGCCTGAATCATAGTTTCTAAATTGAGGATAAATTCATAAAAAATTATTAAATGTTATTAAAAATAACAAAATTTTAAAAACATACCATGAGAACATTCTATAATCACTGGCTTGGAGTCCCAAAGAATGATATTTTCCTTCGGAATGTTCTTTGATACAAGGGATGAAGCATTTTTTTTGGATAGTACACCTCATAGCGCGACTCATTGAACTGTTCTTTTATCCATGTTGTGTGAACAACCATCATCAAGCCATCATCAAAGCTTGCGCACAAGAATGGCCTATTCTGCACGACTTGATCACTTTTCTTTTTAGAATTTTTTCCAGCCATTATTTTAGATGTTTACTCTTTGAGGTATGAAATGCGAATGAAGAAAAATTAAGTGAAACTTTTCTTTTATACTAAAAAATATTCGACCGAAATAAAATTTTATTCTTGACATACAAAATCGAATGTCAAGTCTTGTTAAATGATGAAATTTTATGCTTGGCATACAAAATCGAATGTCAAGTCTCATAAAATGATAAAATTTTAACAGTTGACATACAAAATCGAATGTCAAGTCTCATAAAATGATGAAATTTTAACAGTTGACATACAAAATCGAATGTCAAGTCTCATAAAATGATGAAATTTTAACAGTTGACATACAAAATCGAATGTCAAGTCTCAAAAAATGATAAAATTTTAACAGTTGACATACAAAATCGAATGTCAAGTCTCAAAAAATGATAAAATTTTAACAGTTGACATACAAAATCGAATGTCAAGTCTCATAAAATGATGAAATTTTAACAGTTGACATACAAAATCGAATGTCAAGTCTCAAAAAATGATAAAATTTTAACAGTTGACATACAAAATCGAATGTCAAGTCTCATAAAATGATGAAATTTTAACAGTTGACATACAAAATCGAATGTCAAGTCTCAAAAAATGATAAAATTTTAACAGTTGACATACAAAATCGAATGTCAAGTCTCATAAAATGATGAAATTTTAACAGTTGACATACAAAATCGAATGTCAAGTCTCTTAAATAAGAAGAAAATCATGAAGCAACATTCATTTTGAACGTCAAGTCTCTTAAATAAGGAGAAAATCATGACTTGACATTCATTTTGAACGTCAAGTCTCTTAAACAAGAAGAAAATCATGACTTGACATTCATTTTGAACGTCAAGTCTCTTAAATAAGAAGAAAATCATGACTTGACATTCATTTTGAACGTCAAGTCTCTTAAACAAGAAGAAAATCATGACTTGACATTCATTTTGAACGTCAAGTCTCTTAAATAAGAAGAAAATCATGACTTGACATTCATTTTGAACGTCAAGTCTCTTAAATAAGAAGAAAATCATGACTTGACATTCATTTTGAACGTCAAGTCTCTTAAATAAGAAGAAAATCATGACTTGACATTCATTTTGAACGTCAAGTCTCTTAAATAAGAAGAAAATCATGACTTGACATTCATTTTGAACGTCAAGTCTCTTAAATAAGAAGAAAATCATGACTTGACATTCATTTTGAACGTCAAGTCTCTTAAATAAGAAGAAAATCATGACTTGACATTCATTTTGAACGTCAAGTCTCTTAAATAAGAAGAAAATCATGACTTGACATTCATTTTGAACGTCAAGTCTCTTAAATAAGAAGAAAATCATGACTTGACATTCATTTTGAACGTCAAGTCTCTTAAATAAGAAGAAAATCATGACATGACATTCATTTTGAACGTCAAGTCTCTTAAATAAGGAGAAAATCATGAAGCAACATTCATTTTGAACGTCAAGTCTCTTAAATAAGAAGAAAATCATGACTTGACATTCATTTTGAACGTCAAGTCTCTTAAATAAGGAGAAAATCATGAAGCAACATTCATTTTGAACGTCAAGTCTCTTAAATAAGGAGAAAATCATGACTTGACATTCATTTTGAACGTCAAGTCTCTTAAATAAGAAGAAAATCATGACTTGACATTCATTTTGAACGTCAAGTCTCTTAAATAAGGAGATAATAATGATTTGACATTTGTTTTTAAAGCTTAGGTTTAATAGAGTATATAAATGCACATGCTCAGAAGCATCATCTTAAGAGAAGCATCGAATTAATTGGTTGGAAACCATGCTTAGTAGATTATGGACAAGAGCAGGTTTAATAGAGTATATAAATGTACATGCTCAGAAGCATCATCTTAAGACTATCATCGAGTGAGTTGGTTGGAAACCATGCTTAGTAGATTATGAACAAGAGTGTGATCAACAGAGTATATAAATGTACATGCTCAGAAGCATCATCTTAAGACTATCATCGAGTGAGTTGGTTGGAAACCATGCTTAGTAGATTATGGACAAGAGTGTGATCAACAGAGTATATAAAAGTACATGCTCAGAACCAGGTTTCATAGAACATGACTTTATGAGTATGCTATTAAGCATGTTTTTCATGTATTCTTCCGATCACGCTCTTGAGAGTATATAAAAGATCATGAAGCAAATTAACTTGCATGCAAGTTTTCAAAACTAGAGTATGATTGAGTATGCTATTGAACATGCTCTATACTGTGATCTTGAGAAGATGTTAAAAAAGCGTATTCTCAACCGTACTCTTGATCAAGACCATGCTCTTTGTCTGTTAGGGAAATATAAATCCCAAAACTTTTCCATAAAGATGAAGCATGCAATCTAAATTGAAAGTAATGTTCAGATTACAGAGTTGGCATGGAAATTGATGTAATTGGGTAAACTTCCGAATACAATAGAATTGGATTTTAATTGGAGAATATTTTGGAATGTTTGTTTCCTAAAGTAGCTTGTATGTTTTGGTATGTATCTCATGTTCATATTTGATTGAATGAAGGGCAGCATGTAGGTTAAAACAACTTCTAGCTTTTGTTATTATGGATATTGGGACTATATCAATGTATTTGCATGAATAAGAAGCTCTAGTTTCAAATTGAATCTACTTGATATCTGTGGACAATGATGAGCTGTAATTAGCAACTCTGCAATCCAAAATGTATTATCAAGCAGTAAACATTCAGTATTATGCAAAAAGCAAGGGGATGTAAGCTTGTAATTTGGATCACCAGCGTTCGAAATCTAGTTGAACGTTAAAGAGTCATGATACTGTGGTTTCTGTCGATTCTAATGATTATGGTTTCGAAATTCGATAAAATCCGACAAGAATCCGATAGAACAAATAATAATCATGCTAAAGTAAGTTGTGCCTAGCTGAACCTAATTGAATCTAGTTTAAACCAACTGAAACTAGTTAAATTTTCCTTAATCTAGCTTAATATAGCTGAGCTTAGTTTAATTTTACTGGAATACTAGAGTTCCTGATTCAAATACTAAAGGTTAAAAACCTTTTCATGACCCCCCCCCCCCCCACTACCCCCTCTCCAATTTTTCTAATAATTTTCCAAAAAGCATTCCAAAAATTCACTTCACCCCGACTCTGGATGTCCATGATGATTTCATATTTTCACATCCATTTCAAAACTTCCATTCAAATTAATTCACAACCTCCCACCCACTTCCTATACACCCCCTCATCATTTTTCGTTCAATTTCAAATTATCTGCAATTGAAATGTTTTTCTCACTGATGTAAATTGCAAATAACTTTATGCTTTATTCACCATTTCAATAAGAAGAATTTTATTTTCGTCTCCGGAATCGATAATGAAAAAAGTTTTTGGAAGAAGCAGCAACAAGGAAGGAACTTTTTTGCGCTCTCTTGTTCATAAATCGAGTAAAGGAAAAAAAAAACTTTTTCAATTTACAATCATAATCGTTGTGATCAAGATCAGAATGCTAATTGACTCTGACAACTTTTCTGTGTTGACTTCATATAACATTCCATGGAAATGGAAGAAGCTATTGAGTGGATGGGGATGGAATTTCTACATTATTATATATACACATACATGAAAATAGCCCGAGAGGCATATGATGGTGAAAAGTCAGGATGATGTTGGTCTGGAATTGAATTTAATCCACCCATGGCCAGTACCTTGAATGTACCTTGATGGTACCTTACATTAAATCACAAACTTGGAGATAAATCAGAATAGTGCCAAAACTATAATGTAGAGCCACACTAGTTCAATAGTGACCTCTATACCTTGTCGTACCTCACAATAAGTGTTTACCATAAGGGACTATCATTATCCTTGGACAAGAACACACCAAGAGCCAGTTCCAGTTATTCTCCAAATCTCATTACCTTTGTGCTTCCCGGACAACTTGTCATAGCAAAAAGTTGTGTATTTTCAAGAGTCAGTCCCAAGAGGTCATGTAGCGTAACTTTTCTACAGCATATAGGTATAAGGTTCACATATTGCCATTCAAATCCATAAATAATAATTTTACTTCCCCTTTTTATCTCGAATTCCGTTACCAATTTGACCTAAAAACTGTATTCAACAAGAATGGTAAAAAAATGTTTTTTTCTCAGTTCTTTTGTTGTAAAAAAAAGTGGCAACTAAAGAAACTTTCTTTCCGATATTTTCAATGCCATTTTTATCGCTTTCATCGTCTTATTGTTGCTATTTAGCATCTTATACAATAAAATATTGAAAACTTTCCTTTTTATGGTTGTGCTCAACAAGTTTAAGTTTAGCATATATTCATGTAAAATGAGAAGAAAAGGGTTAAATTTGTTTTTTACTCGCTTCCGATGGAGTCCTTTCATGCTGACTGTTCATGATGTTTTTTGGTACCTTCTTCAAGTTTATTTTTGTTGCTTAAAGAATGTGCAATTGAAGTTTAATTTGGTGTACTGGAGATTGTTAATGTGAATGGAATTAGATTTGCAGGAGATACTGAAAAGATTTGTAGAGGAATGGACTTGATTTTGATACTTAAAGAACTTTAATTTGAAAACTAGGCATAATAGGGCAACTTTAGAGTCAAGCTGTATTAAGCAGGAATTGAACTCAAGTTGTACTGAGCAGGAATCGAACCCACGTTCTTGTCATTAAGCTGTCGGAAGCTTAACAGGATTTCAACTAACTGTGGATCGGTTTCTGATAGAAATTGAACCCACATCGACACAATATTAAGAATTACATATGTCAGATCCACTGCTTAATCACCAAACCAAGAAGACCTTACTGTTGCACTAGCAGATTCCTTTACATATAACTTAATACTCTAAATTCCATTCCTCTCCAATATTCCACCTTTAATTATTTTAAAGCCAAGACTCATTTCCAATACCCCACAAAAAAAATACCTGAAATCCAATACATTCCCCAAACCATCTTTCATCCTCAATATTTTTAAAACTCAAACATCTTTATAGCTTCAAGAGTGAATGATC